GCTGAGAAGGCCTTTGATTCTGTTGGTTGGGACTTCCTGTACCAAGTAGCTAATGGACAGATTTGGGTTTAGTAAAACATTTATAAAATGTATAATGTATAAAATGTACATGTATAAAAACATTATATTCATCCCCAACTGCCAGGATTAAAATTAATGGCAGTGTTTCTGATTCTATAGTCTTGCAAAGAGGATGTAGACAGGGCTGCCCCATTAGTCGGACCCTGTTTAATCTCTTTATTGAACCTTTGGCTCAAGCCATTAGACAGGAAATTGGTCTGGAGGGTATAACTATAGGGGGTTTAGAATACAAAGCCTGTCTGTACGCAGATGATTTATTGGTGACTGTACATAATCCAGGTTTAGGGTACCTTTGTTGATGAATATTTTAAAGATGTACGGAAGTTACTCTGGTTATACACTCAATATTCACAAAACGCAGGCCCTGACATTCAATTACACCCCTACTTCCGAATTGGTGAATAAGTACAATTTTAAGTGGCATTCACCATGTATCCAATACCTTGGGGTTTACCTGCCAAAAGATTTGTCCTCCTTGTACACAATAAATTATAATCGGATTAATAAAAAGATATATAATGACATGGACAGGTGGGCCTTGCTCCCCCTTGACATAGGTGGCAGAGTAAGATCGATTAAGATGAATGTTCTTCCCAGGCTACTGTACTTATTCACAGCTCTGCCAGTAGAGGTCCCCAGCAAACAGTTTAGAGAATGGGATAAACATATCTCCAGGTTTATATGGAATCAAAAGAGACCCCGGGTTAAATACTCAACACTTCAGCTGCCGAGAGAGGGGGGAGGCTTGGCACTTCCTTGCTTGAAGGATTATTATTTATCAGCCCAGCTCAGACCCCTGGTGCTCTAGTGTAATTCATCTTATGAGGCCAAGTGGAAAGATATTGACTTTTCTTTGGGGGACACACCAATACAGTCAGTTCTAGGTTGTCTTGATAGGGTAAAGGAAATATTCGAATTCAAGAACCACTGTGTGAGTTTTACCATTAAGAAGTGGTTAGAGGTTGTTAAGAAATTCCAGCTCCACAAACAGGTAAAAATACTTAGTTGGCCAGCTTACAATCCCCACTTTGCACCAGCTACCCTTGATCATGGATACAAACGATGGACCCAGATTGGTATCACCGCCCTCTGTAAAATTATATCAAAAGGGGAACTTGACAGTTTCCAGCACCTGAGTCAGTTGTTTAATCTTGAGAGACAGGATTTTTACAGGTATTTACAGGTACGCAATTTTTTCATGAAGGAGATCAGAGGTCTTAACCCTGAAAATTTTTCAAAAATTATTCAGATTTTTATTGATGCATATAAGTGTGAAAATATTAGAGGGGTTACAGGCAAATTGTATAAAGCTATTACTTCTATGAACAAAAATTCTACAGACTATGTATGACAGCGCTGGGAAAAGGACCTAGGGATGGAAATAACTGGTGGAGGAGTGGACACATGCGTGGGAAACTCAATGCTCATCCACTAATTCATTGACACGGAGAGATTTTGGATGGAAGAGTTTGATACGCTTTTTTATAACACCAAAGCAGAAATCCAAGTGGACTGGGACACAACTCCCCTGTTGGAGGGAGTGCGGATCAACGCAAGCGGACCATGCCCATGTATTTTGGTTGTGTCCACGGATTAGACCTTTTTGGGAAAAGACAGGACGTTTACTGTCTAATGGGATTGTTACCTGAGGGAAAACGACATTGATTAGGGATTTTTTCTTTTAATTTTTATTATTCTATTATTTTATTTGTTGTGGGACTAAACTGTGAAATTTCTCTACAATAACCTGTACCTGTTTCTGAGGTACTTAGATTTGCCAAGACCTCATGTTCTGTTCTCTGTCTTTTGTTGTTGCTTTTTTCTACTGTACTTGAAATCCTGAAAAAAATAAAGTTTAAAAAAAACAAACAAACAGGACTGACCCAGACTAACATGACTGCCCCGGACTAACAGGACTAAGCCGGACTAACAGGACTAACAGGACTGAACCACATTAACAGGACTGACCTGGACTAACAGGACTGCCTCGGACTAACAGGACTGACCTGGACTAACAGGACTAACAGGACTGAACCACATTAACAGGACTGAACCAGACTTAACTGACGGAACACTCATAACTGTTTTTACCACGAGATGACAACACGACCCTACACAGAACATCTTCAGGTGTTCTCTAGTCTTCAGGTGTTCTCTAGTCTTCAAGTGTTCTCTAGTCTTCAGGTGTTCTCTAGTCTTCAAGTGTTCTCTAGTCTTCAGGTGTTCTCTAGTCCTCAGGTGTCAGTTGGGTTTTCCTGCAGGGCCGAAATGCCGAGGAGCAGGTGAAGATGATCCAGCAGGTGGTGACGTACAACAGCACGTTGCCACAGCAACAGAGAATCACCATCTCTGTGGAGATAGAGAAGACCAGAGAGCCACTGTATCAGCTGTTTCCTCATGGTGACGTGGTACGTCACCTGTTACGTTCACCTGTCTTCAACATACATGACACAAGTCTGTTACAGTCTGTCAGGTGTTCTCTAGTACTCAGGTGTTCTCTAGTACTCAGGTGTTCTCTCGTCTTCAGTTGTTTTCTAGTCTTTAGTCCTCAGGTGTTTTCTAGTCCTCAGGTGTTCTCTAGTCCTCAGGGTTTCTCTAGTACTCAGGTATTTTCTAGTCTTTAGGTGTTCTCAAGTCTTCAAGTATTCTTTAGTCCTCAGGTGTTCTCTAGTCCTTGGTTGTTCTCTTGTCTTCAGGTGTGCTAGTCCATAGGTTTTCTTTAGTCTTCAGGTGTTCTCTAGTCCTCAGGAATTTTCTAGTCCTCTGTTGTTCTCTCGTCTTCAGGTGTTCTCTAGTCCTAATGTTTTTTCTAGTCCTCAGGTGTTTTCTAGTCCTCGGTTGTTCTCTCGTCTACGGGTGTTTTCTGGTCCTCAGGTGTTTTCTAGACCTCAGGTGCTCTCTAGCCCTCAGGTGTTCTCTAGTCTTCAAGTATTCTTTAGTCCTCAGGTGTTTTCTAGTCCTCGGTTGTTCTCTCGTCTTCAGGTGTTCTATAATCCTCAGGTGTTTTCTAGTTCTCGGTTCTCTCGTCTTCAGGTGTTCTCTCGTCATCAGATGTTTTCTAGTCCTCAGGTGTTTTCTAGTCCTCAGGTGCTCTCTAGCCCTCAGGTGTTCTGTAGTCCTCAGGTATTTTCTAGTCTTTAAATATTCTTTAGTCCTCGGGTGTTTTCTAGTCCTGGGTTCTCTCGTCTTCAGTTGTTTTCTAGTCCTCAGGCGCTCTCTAGCCCTCAGGTGTTCTATAGTCCTCAGGTGTTCTCTAGTCTTCAGGTGTTCTCTAGTCCTCAGATATTTACTAGTCTTCAGGTGTTCTCAAGTCTTAAAGTATTTTTTAGTCCTCAGGTGTTTTCTAGTTCTTTGTTGTTCTCTTGTCTTCAGGTGTTCTCTAGTCCTCAGGTGTTTTGTAGTCCTTAGGTGTTCTCTCGTCTTCAGGTGTTCTCTCATCCTCAGGTGTTCTCTAGTTATCAGGTGTTCTGTAGTCCTCAGGTGTTCTCTAGCTCTCAGGTCTTGTTGTCTTCAAATGTGCAAGTCCTCAGGTGTCCATGTCTCCTCAGGTGTCCTTGTCTCCTCGTGTTCTCTAGTCCTCAGGTGTCCTTGTCTCCTCAGCTGTTCTCTAGTCCTCAGGTGTCCTTGTCTCCTCAGGTGTTCTCTAGTCCTCAGGTGTCCTTGTCTCCTCAGGTGTTTGTCAGTAAGGACGTGGCTCGTCACTTTGGTTTCCAGACAGCTGACTCTGCTCTGAGAGGACTCTACAGTCGAGTCAGACCGGGGTGAGTGGACGTCAAAGGTCAACAGTTAGGACAGATGAGGAGGCAAACATATCTGTCTCTCTCTCTGACCTGTCTGTCTCTGACCTGTCTCTTTGTCTGTCCTGTCTGTGACTGACCTGCCTCTGTCTCTGTCTCTGTTCTGTCTGTCCCTCAGGGCTGTTCTGATTTGTGCCTGGGCAGAAAAAGGAGCGGATGCTTTGTGTCCTGACGGTTCAGTCGTTCATTCAGATGCTTTTCCTCCTGAATCTCTGGTGGACACTCTGGGAGCCGGGGACACGTTCAACTCTGCTGTCATCTACACACTGTCCAACGGTGAGACATCACACTGTCCTGCAGTGAGACATTACTGTCCTGCAGTGAGACATCATACTATCCAACAGTGAGACATCACATTGTCCAACAGTGGGACATTACACTGTCCAACAGCGAGACATAATACTGTCCTGCAGTGAGACATCACATTGTCCAACAGTGAGACATCACACTGTCCTGCAGTGAGTCATTACACTGTCCAGCAGTGGGACATCACACTGTCCAACATTGAGACTTTACACTGTCTTGCAGGGAGACATCACACTGTCCAACAGTGAGATATTACACTGTCCTGCAGTGAGACATCACACTGTCCAACAGTGAGACATCACATTCTCCAACAGTGGGACATTACACTGTCCAAAAGTGAGACAT